TACAAAAGAATTATGAGCCCTCAATTAATAGAAGCTTCTTAACATAATCTATTACTAGAAAATATAAGGAAAGAGAGAAAATGATGTCAAAATATAGAAAAATATTTATTAGACCTATCCCCTTTCTTCCCTATCATATATACAAAGGGAATTTATTGTAATGACCTAGCACATCACATCATCCATATTTCATCCAATAAAATTACACCAATTCAATCAATGAAATCTTATATGTCAACTTTATTTTTATAAAAAAAATACCTATTTAATTTCTTACATTTTCTTTTTCTACTATCATTAATATCATAATTAATTTATATTTAATATTATCTAAATATCATATTTTTATTTAATAGACTATAGATGATGTGATACACCAAGTATATCCAAGAATTTCTCTATATACATATTCCACAAACTTAATCAATGTGGTGATTATTAAGAAATTATAGTTATATCTTTAACTTAATAAAAAAAAAACTTTTTACCAAAAAAATAAATAAAGAACTTTTTAATTTTAACCTTTTTTACAATTAATATCATAAGAAATTATTGTTTAAAATTAAAAATACTCTCAAGCAATCTGTTTCAATTATCGATAAAATACTACCAGGAAATTTTTTTTTAATCTTCTTGTCTTTTGTTGTTGTTAATATATTTGATCTTTTTATAAAAAAAAAATTAGATTCCCAGTAACATAATTAGACCCTCAATAAACAAGCAAGGGGTGAAATTGAAAAAAAAAAAAAACTACTCCAACCATCTTATACTAAGAAATAAAAAGAGTTTAGAAAGTTTGTCATATAATTAGAATTGGAAGGAATAAATCACTTCGCCAAACCTAATTGGATTAAGTTAGAGTTCGATTTCTCTTAACGTCAAACATTCAAATCTTATGAATGAAAAACCTATAATCAGAAGTTATGCTTAACCTGGTTTCATAATATTCAAACTTGACCATTGGATTGGGTTTAAGGATTAAGTTTTAACAATTGAAGATGGCTCATGCAAATGAAGACCTTGTTAAATGTTGACATGCTTCCCCTTGGGCCACTCGTGGTGATGGGCCTAATAAATATTGGGCTTGATTAGGATCAAATCCTCCTTTATTATTTCTATTCCATTGATCATCATCATGAAGTTTTAACCTGACTTAAGATCTTAATAATGGTATTTATGGATTAATGATCCTTTCCCTCTAATATGAGGTATTCTTGGTTGTGCAAAGAAAATAGAAAAATACAAAAATACAAAAATGAGATGCTTTTGTTATGATTGTATTATTATTCTAACCTTGTTATTATTACTACTTAATTAATCATATAGATATCTATTCATAAATATAGGGAAAATGATAGAAGAATCTTATGAAATATGCAAATGAAAATTAGATCCCGTTAAATGTCATAATTCTTCTCAAGTGCCTAAGGTCCTTTCTAATATTAATGATTTTTTTGTGAAATAACTAAAATACCTTCAGTTTAAACTAAAATATAATTGTTTGTTTTATTTTAGTCATTGTCAAAAAAAATTATTGTTTAAGCTAAATAAATCACAAATATTTACAATACTTAGATTTCAATAATAAAAAATTTGCACAAGAAAAGTTATAATTTTTTATTTTATTTTAGCCATTGTCAAAAGAAAAGTATTCATTGATTAAATTTTAAAATAGTTATAAATATTTACAACACTTGAATTTTGGTGAATAAAAAGTTGCACAAAGAAAGTTGCAATTACTTACTCCGTTTTAGTCATCACCAAGAGAAAAGTAATCACTATTTAAACTAAAATAATCACAGATATTTACAACACTTGAATTTTAAAGAATAAAAAATTTATACAAGAGAGAAGTTAAAATTGCTTGTTTTGTGCTAATCATTTCTTAAAGAAAAGTAATTATTATTTAAATTAAAGTGGTCGATGATATTTAATTACTTTTTTTTGGAGGGCCAAAGATGTAAATTATTTTTTTAAAACTGAAGATATTTTAATCATTTTAACAAAAATTATTAAATATTAAAAAAGTTCTTAGAAATTTGAAAAGAATTATAACATTTTACGAGACCTCATAATCATTTATATATTTTAAAAAAAAATTCTGTAATTATTTTCATGTGTGTATCATCTATTAATATTTGTATATGAGAACATGAGTAAAATTTTCACTTCCTTCAATTTTTTTTTTATAAAAATTTATGTGAGTTGGGTTTTAAAAAATAATCAGAATCAAAATATATTTCCACACTTAAAAACGTTCACACAAAGCTAATACACTAAATTGATATGGTCAAAACTAAAGTAAGCCTTTATGGAAGCAAAAAGGGTGAGCACCATTTCCGTCTCTAATAGATTCCTTGTATCTCTATGGAAGCATGCGCCATCTCCATACTAAGTAACAAAGACTTGATAGTTGATTCCACACGTTATTAGAATCTCTATGAGGCAAAAAGATGATATATAGTTCCCTTTTACTCTTGAAAATGACTAAGCTTGATCCTTTTTGTATGGGTATGACATCTACCCTATTAACTTTATCTATAACAATAATAAACAAGTTAAAGTAACGTGTTAATTATTTAACTAGATTATACCATGGAAAGGCATGATTTCTTTCAAAACATTTGATCATTGATTATCGTTTTATATGTTTTTAGATTTTAGATAGATTTCAGTTTAAGGTTCCAGCTAGAGAATTTTTTTGCAAGGATCCGATGCTCCGTTTTATTCATATTTCATCTAATAAAAGCATATATATCACTAATATTTCCTTGCATTTACAAACTTTAAATCAACCATGACTTTTATAATAAAGTGGTAGATAATGAGAGAAGTATAGCCAGTAGATAGAGCATGAAAAACAGGTTGAGCCCACGAGTTAACCCGTTTAACCTGCATAATTTGACAGGTTGGGTTGAAAAAATTAATCCATTTTAAAAAATGGGTTAGGTTAGCCCAACGCGCAAAAATAACGGGCTAAAACGGGTTGGCTCGCGGGCTAACATATTTAAAAAAATAATTTTTATTTTTTAATTATATTATATTTTTTAAATTTATAATAATGATAATATTTCTTAAATATATAATTTATGACTTTCAAATATGTTCTTTACATTTGAAATATAGTATAAATCCTTTTTACAATTTGCAAATAAAATTTTTGTTATAGTTTGTGAAGATGATTTATTAGTTTTTATAAAAATATTTTGAATATATATTATTTATTAATCTCATAAGATCAATTGATTGAAATTATAAATATGAATTCACTGAGAAAAATAATATGAGTTTATATTTAAATTTTCTTTCTCAGTGACAAAGATAGCACACCTAAACAAGAATATGATTAATAGTAAAAATCTAGCAAAATGAATTTGCTTGGTTGAATTCTATGTTTATTTTATTTATTTACAAGTTTTTTAATTGCTAGTTTTCTTTAAAATATGAAATAAATAAATATATTATATTATATAAATTTTAAATTATTAAAAAGAATTTGATAATTTTTTACAGGCCAGCTCGCGGGTTGGCTAGCCCGCTAGAAAATGGGTTGGGTTAGATTTTTTAGCCTATTTTATCTAGCGAGTTGGCACAATCCAACCTGCAAAAATGCTAGTCCTCGAGCTAGCCTATAACTCATTTACCCAGTGCTACTAGTAGAGGTGTCAATTAGGGCTGACCCGACCTTAAAAAGTTGGCCCTTCAAGGGCCAGGGTTTAAACGGGCTGACCTTTTTAAGCTCAATTATATCTCAAGGCTCTATTTTTAGTAACTCGGCACTGACCCTCAAGGCTAAGGCCAGCTTTCAAGGCCTTGGCCCTAATTATTTTTTTATTTTTAATTTAAAATTTTAACAAAGTTATTACACATCACATTAAGTCAAGAAAATAAAATAAAATCAATTCACGCAATAAAAATTTTAAATCTGATAAAAAATAACACACAAAATCAATTCTGACATCAATTACATATTGATAGCATTATCAGCTAAATTTTGATGATCTTCATCATCATCAACATCAATATGATTTGATCCTTCTCCTTGTAAATTCTCATCAATGAAAAATATGTTAAGCTTTTCATTTCTTCCTTCTTCGTCCTCATTATTTGCAATAAATAATAAACCAAAATCATAATTTTAAAGTATTTAAACAATGTAAAAATATTCAAACAAAGCAAATAATAATGTGCGTGTCTATTGTCTGAATTAGAAAGTGAGTGCTGAATTTGAGTGATGTGGTATCTACTTTTTGTTTATTTTTTAATGTTATTTTTTTCAAAAAAATATTAGGACTTAAAAAGGTCAATCCCGACCCCAAAGGGCTAGCCTTTTTATTTTTGGGCTTAAAAGGACTACTTTTTTAATGACCAAAGTAGCAGCCAGACTCTCAATTTTTTTGGGTTCAAAAGGGCTTGCTTGACGAGTTCGGACCTAATTAATGGCTCTAATAGCCAGCCTTAAAACTTGTAAGTTCTTGATGATATTATGAATCTCTTTCTTATTCCCAAAAAACAAAAAACGAAAAAAAAACCATAACATTGTTACCCAATTATGTATATAAGTAATTATTTAAATTTAAAGTAATGATGCAATGTTTTGCATCTCTTGTCACATGATACCTTGTTCAAATTTTCAAATAAATAATAGTAGGAACATTTATACACACACACATTACACGTAATATTTATACTTACAATTATAACATCAAAATTTGATTTCACGATTTTTAAAATTATGTGTTTAATTTTATTAATTGGATTAAATTTTGTTGCTATATTACAGGTATTATCAAAGCAAGTCATAAATGTTAATGACTAATAAATATAATGAATTATCGTAAATATTTCATAATATTTCTCTGAAAGTTCCATGCTTGTGAGAGGGGTTTTCTTCTTCCTCGGTTTGGCGCCACAAAGAGGGAAACTTTTGCATGAAAGCTCAGCAACTGTGTGATTGGACAAAAGCAAACCAGAGAAATGGAGCTGCTAGTGCTTACCCGTTACCCAATCTTAAAGAATACCAAACCCATCATCTCCTTCCTTCCTCTGTAGCCGAAACCAGAACTCCCAAACAATCCTTTTCCTTCTTCTCCTCAGATTCTCTTCTCAAAGAAAAGCATCCTTCTTCTTCTTCTTCCTCCATTATATGATTGCATCCTCCTCCACCTCCATTATGCCTCAATCTCCATTCCTTTTACCCAATCTCTTCTCTGAAACTCAACCCCACAAATGGCCTCCCAAGACCCTACGCTTCGCTCCCCTGCACCTGCAGTTATTACACTCACGCCTTTCAAGTATTCCAACCGCGTTCTTCTGAAAACCCTATTCGAATGCGCCGATCAAATGCCTGAATTGATCGGCCAGAGGGTTGTGATCGGTGGGTGGGTGAAGTCTTCTTCTAAGAATGACAAGAAGCTACCGCCACCGCCACCGCCACCGACTCCGTTACATGGTGGTAAAAAGGTTGATCAGAGCAGGAACAAAGATGTGACGTGTGTTGAGATTATTCAGTCTAAGATACCTTTCATTCGATCAATTTTTGAGGTTTTTGGAAGTGGATATGTTCCTACCAAGAAAACCGAGTCTGTAACTCATATGCCTATGCCTCCCCAGCCTTCCACTGTGCATCTCATGGTCACGGATGGTTCGAGCGTTGCGAATCTCCAGGTGCATATGCTGCTACATTTTTTAACATTCATACACAGTTTGATCATTGAAAATATATTTAATGGTTTAGATCTCGGTTTTTTCCTTGCACAAATCAGTAACATTCTACATTGTGCAGTTTCTGCAAATTTTGAGACTTAGATATAAAAATCATTTTGACGACAAACAATGAATCATAGATTTTATCCTTTTAGGGGACAAATTATATAATTACTCTTTGTTATTTGTCCCCAGTTTATTGTGTGAATGCTTAGTTGTGTATTCAGTAGGTTGATTTTAATGAAAGTACAACTGATTCTGTTAATTTTGCGGGAGTCTTGAAAGATGTTGTGGCTTTCTGCAGATATCCTTCTCATGCATATGCAGTCATATATTGTTGCCTTGGTCTTCAGATATTTTTGGACAAGGATAAATGCATTAAACAATTATGTACTAATGAGTCAGACAATTATTTTAGAGTGATTCTAAATAGATGCTTGCATTGCAAGCAAAACAAAAAACCAGGTTATACTTTATGGGGATCAACTGTTCATGTCAATAACAAAAAATAGCTGATACCTGATAGTGGTACCACTCAAAGGTGCACTTGATCTGTATGTGATCCAAGTTATCATGATCCTCATTGATATTTGAAAAGTTGTAGGTGGTTGTTGATTCATCACTGGCTTCCCCGAGCAAGCTTATGCCAACAGGAACCAGTATATTAGTGGAAGGTTTATTGAAGAAATCATCACCAAAGGGAAAGCATGTTATTGAGCTTGAAGCTGACAGAATTCTCCACATTGGGACAGTAGATCCTGAGAAGTATCCATTGTCAAAGAAGCGATTGCCATTGGATATGTTAAGGGATTTCTCTCATTTTCGGCCTCGAACAACTACGGTGAATTTGAACACACTCTCATTCTTCCTCCTTATCACTTTGCAGTTTACTGGATCATTTTTCCATTTTCCAACATGTTGGGTTTTCTGATAAGGAGCATATTACTGTCATTTCATTTGTTTTTTTTTTTTTTAATAAGCCATTGCATATTGCATATTTGCAAGAGATGATGATTCCATTACCATGTGATCTGGAGACTTTTGGTCCAGTTGACCTTTCTTTATTTAGTATCCAGCCACGTTGCTGTTCAATAGAATTTGCTATATGCCTTTTTCAAGAAGTAATCTTAGTGTGTAGAAATAAATCTAGTTATTCATCAGTTTTTAAGGAGTTTTTTTTTTTTTTTTATTGTGGGAAAATGTTGGATTTTTGAACCGACTAGGTCAAATGCATTGTTCTTCCTGTATTTAAACTTTGAGATTTCATATTGATTTTCTCTCACTTGTTATGTCTGTTCTTTTGAGAATATTGTTTTGAAATGGGCCCTGCTTATGCTCCATCATTCATGTATCTTAATAGTAGAGCTAGCTAGTAATATAACAACATGCTTGTCATCTTATTTTTTCTGATTTAGATCTCTATCATGATAACTATATTATGAGAAATATTAATTTCATTATTACTCAAATTATGTGTTTTGCATAAATTAGGTGTCGTCTGTCATGCGAATTCGTAGTTCCCTCTCTTTTGGCACCCACTCATTTTTCAAACATCATGCATTCTTTGATGTGCAAGTACCAATTATAAGTACATCAGACTATGAAGGATTGGGTAAAATGTTCTCAATCACTACCGTGGATCAGAAAGAAGACAAGGAGAAGCTAAACACCATTCATGAGAATGAAGACGCTGACCTTGAAACTGTGAAGGCAGCTGTAAGAGAGAAAAGCAACATAGTTGAGAACTTGAAACGAAGTGATAGCAACAAGGAAGCACTGGTTGCTGCAATTCAGGATCTGAAGAAAACAAATGAAATGGCATCACAGTTGGAAGCAAGACGAAAGACAAAATCAGCATCCTCATTTAAGGCTCATAAAGTAGATTCTTCTGAAGAATTTTTCTCTTGCCAGACATATCTAACTGCTTCTGGTGGGTTGCATTTGGAGAGCTATGCGTGTGCTCTTGGAAATGTCTATTCATTTGGACCTAGATTTCAAGCGGATAAAACAGATTCCTCAAACGAGCAGCAGAAATGTGGATGGTTGAGGTTGAAATGGCTTTTGCTCAGTTAGAGGTATCCTTTCTTTACTTCAACTTGCATTATCAATCTTTGAGATATTCAATCTGTTATATTACATCTATTTAGAAGCAGTATAATATCCAAGGTATTTCCATGCAATGCTAAATTAGTACTGAGTTTTTTCATTTAATTGGGGCTCTGTTGTAGAAAAATTAATGATGGTTTATCTCTTTTAGATAATGTATTGATATCTAGGATGAAGTAGAGTAATATAGGAACTGACTTAAGGATTTTCAGTTTTCTGAATTAATGCTTTATTTCTCAAGATAAAATTGAGCTTTTGACAAACAGTGGTGTATCTCAAAATGAACGGGCTGCGAACCAAAGATCACAAAACCTTTATAATCAGGATGAATTCTATTTTTACTATTGGTCTTGACTTCTAAGTTTGATTGAATCTTGAAACATTTCTCGTGAACGTCATATGCTAAAAATTATTAGTTGTTCCCAACGATCTTTAATAAAATGTTATAGAAAGAAATATTATGTTGCCACTCTTCAACCTTGATAAATATTATGTTGCATGAAATGTATCTATAATTGCTATGACCTGCCCTGTACCTTGCCTCTGTTTCTGACATGAAAAATGTTATGATATTCCCCTCTTAATAAGAATTGACATTTAATCCCCCCCTTTGATGTGAGACATATGCTTATTTTGTTGGGTCCAATCTTTACAGGTATTGGCATTAAGTACTAATATACTATTGGTCTCCCAAGTATAACAATCAAGAAATGGGTTTATGAGTCTCTCAGATGAAATTTCCACCACTAACTTTTGCAATTATTGAAAGTTTCTATTTTCGAGTGACCTACAACATAATATGCAATTCTTCAATTTTCAAGTCAGAATTTTCCTTCAATTTTCATGTGTAATTCTTTCTTCGTACTGTTGTTGGAATTGGGAGGCTTTTGTACTGTTTGTTAACTTCTTTTTTTTTTGGCAGAATTCCATAAATTGTGCCATTGACTTATTCAAATACCTATGCAAGTGGGTTGACGAAAATTGCTCTGAAGATATGAACTTTGTTGCCAAAAGAATTGACAATGCCTGCATCAGTCGTCTTCGGCAGACTGTATCAGATTCATTTCAAATTGTGTCCTACACGGAAGTGATTGATGTTTTGAAAAGGGTACGCTATCATGTACTCCATAATTATGTTCTTACTTGTTTCATCTTTTTCCATTCTTGAATGAAAATAATGGAAGCTCTTAAATGTGATATCTTAGTTAACAATATTTCCAAAGGCTTAGCCATTGATAGAACATAATGGTGCCATGTAATCTATATAGCCAACCCTACCTAGTGGGATAATGCTTGTTGTTGTTGTTTATCTTTCTCCCTTCCTAAAATATATTAGATATTTAGTCTTGGTCATTTAATTGTGCTCCCAGGTCACAGACAAGAAATTTGAAACAAACATCCAATGGGGTGTTTCCCTTACAACAGAACATCTGAGGTATGGATATTCTCGTGATATATGTTGTTTTTTGGGTTTTGCTATCTGTCAGTCGCTGAAGTGTCTCCTTTACCAATTTAGCTGCTAACCATTCCCTTCACTGGCAGTTATTTGGCTGATAACGCATTCAAGAAGCCTGCAATAATCTACCACTATCCAAAAGAAGCTAAGCCATTTTTTGTTCGTGTGAATGATGATATGGAAACAGTGGCAGCATTTGATCTAGTTGTCCCAAAGGTATGGTGAAACATGAGTTCTAGCATGGTCGGGGGACAACGAAATTTTTGTTCCCTCAAGTTTGTTGCTTTTATCGATTTGGTTCCTAAAATTTAATACGTATCAATTAGGTCCCTAAAGTTTCAAAATTATATACAATTAGTCTTTTTGGTTTGAAGGGAAAATAATATCATGAGGACTAATTGTATATGGTTAAAAAATTTAGAGACTTAATTGATAAAGATTAAACTTCAAGTATCAAATCGATAACTAAAGCAAATTTGAGGAATAAGCAAATTCATTATCCTTACAATGGACGTAAGAATTGCTTTAAACCTCTATCTGAAGGATTTTGATCATGAAGCACGTCTAAGTTGTTGTTCTTGTTGTTTTCAAATAGCTAATGTTTACAATCAAGAGACATATATTTTCAGGTCGGAGTAATAGTTTCTGGTAGCCAAAATGAGGAGCGTCTTGACATGATAATCTCAAGGTACTGTCTCTCTCATTTGAGTGTCACATTTTAGTACTCTCTCCAGTTCTTATTATAAGGCACCTCTCTCTAGTTTACTAAAACTAAGAAGAGGTGCTTAAGTTATTAAATTTGTATGAAAATAAAATAAGCTTCCAATTTTACCCTTATTTAAATGAAAAATTTTCAAATTTGCATTAATTCTCTCTCATAGTTAATAAATTTAAATAAGGATAATATTAAAAAAAAACATAATTAATATCACATCAAGTGCCTTATATTAAGAATCAAAGAATTTTTCTAGAATTCTTCCAAAAAGAATATTTCACATTCTTCCTGATCTGTATTCTCATGTGATGCATACTTTCTTAGCAAAAACAAATGGTTTAAGCATCTTCCTTTTCATCATTCTATGGCAGAATTGAGGAGTTGGGCCTGCCAAGAGAGCAGTATGAATGGTACCTCGACCTTCGACGACACGGAACAGTCAAGCATTCCGGTTTCACGCTTAGGTTCGACCTTTTGGTTCTCTTCATGACAGGCCTTACCAATGTCAGAGATGTTATTCCTTTCCCCAGAAGCCATGGCAAAATCATGAACTGATTGTGTTTTGGAGTAAAGTTCAATCTGAACACTCTCAGCTCAAAGCTCTGCATTTGTTGCAGACAGAAAGAAAAGTAGCAGCAGCTTGTATTTTTCTTTCATGCGTAAATATGTAACCTTTCAGGGCTTGATGGTGTGTGCGCGTGTGTGATCATTTTCAAATTTCACTAAAGCATAATGTATCTGAGGAAGTACATAACTGGAATGAAATTATTCAAATCTTGTGCAGTTCTTTAAAGTGCCAGTTTGATTTTGTCTTTCATAATAGTATACGGAATCTGTTTTTCTAAGCAGTGGACACTTTGATCTTAATTGCATGTGTAACTGATAATTCAAAATGATATTTGATAATTAAAAAAATCAAATTAAAACATAAAATCCGAACCATTCAGCTAAGGTCCAAATTTACTATTGATTAGGACTTAGGAGCAGGAATGAAGAAGCTGCACCACTTTTAATATAGTATTGAAAACCGAGTGATGAATCCTTGAACCAGTGCTTTGATAGGTTCAATGGAAAATTTTGTTCATAATCAGTTTGATCATAGTGTAATTATAATTTTGACCGTTAATGCCTGAATTTTCGAACAAATGTCTTAACTGATTTAATAATTAATCTGATCTTCAGTGCCTTAATTTATAAGTGAGGTGCATTGTAAGTTATCTTTAGCTCCATACCAAACAAAAAAACAGGGAGGCAATCTAGTTACATCTTAAATGACAAAAATTAGCAGAAAAATGACAATATGTATGAATTCATTTAGGCATACACTCTTTTGCCCCAAGTGGTTAACCACAGGATTCACTCAAACTCAGAACGTGTTTTTATTAATTGCCTTGCAACTCGGCAATGCAAATTATTAGTCATGAAAGTTCCGTTTTGCCCATGAAGCTGCCAAGTAATGGTATGCCACCGGTGATCAATCAGTAATGATGACAGGAAAAGTACAATATTAATTATGAAAAATGATAAAGAGATCTCAAAAAAATTAATTAATTTAAATTAGGTATCAAGTGTTTAAAAATTTATAATTCAATCTCTCAATTTTACAATTATATTGTGATAAATTTATAACTTATATTTTAAATTTTAATAAAAAAATAAATTTTTTTCTTTAACTGCATTAAAATTTAAAAAATTAATTACAAATTCATCACAATGCAATTTTTAAAATTAAAAAATTAAATTATAAATTTTTAGAATTTGCACTCAGGACTTAAATTAATTAATTCTTTTAAGACTTTTTTATCATTACCCCATATAATTAAGAAAAAATGATAGTTAGGTTCCAAATGAATGACTTAATAATAATTAAGTGCTCAATAATTTTTTTTTACAAAATAAATTATAAATATTAATTCAAATAGTTACAGACAAAAACTTTTGTTATAATTTAAAAGTTTATATTTAATATTTAAATATTTATTTATAATTAAAATTCCTCAGTGTGTAATAATTTAAGTTATATTTTTAATTTATTTTTTAAAAAATTTATCAAAATTTAACTGGTATTAATTCATTCTTTTGATATTTAATTGTCATTTTTTCAATAATTAATTAAAAGATCCAAAAGTGCTATGAGCGCAGAACTTGATACACTGTGTATTTCTGTGCATCCAAAAGCACTAAATAAAATGATAAGCCAACTCAGAGTCTAAAGTATAATGTGTTGTCAGACACAGAGGGGGGGAGCGCAGAGCGTGGGGACGCTTGTAACTTGTTACTTAGAACTTCGAAATATTTTGAGAGCAAATTATTGACCAAATACTGAATTTTTTTTCAAGGAAAATGACCAAAAAAAAATTACTCCCACAGTTTAAAAATATAAAATATTTTTAATTAAATTTTACTTTCTAATAAAATATATACTTACTTTCAAACTAATCCTATCTTTTTATATTTATCCATATTAAACATCCTATAATAAATATAAAGTTATTATTAATAAGGACACTTTTGAAAAAAAAAATAATTACACTTCAAAAGGTTAAAAATACCTTACATTTTTAACATTTAAATTCCTAAAAAATACTTTACATTTTTTAATAAAAAGAGTACTAAATAACATGTAAATGATAATTATATGCAAAATGTGATAATTATTATTGGGTTATTGGACAGTCTAACATCTAAACTATAGATTCAAAAATATCTAAAATTTTAAACTTATTTGTTATATAATATTCTCTTTTAACTTTTAAAAATGATGTCATTTATCATTTACCGTTAATGAAAATTGACTTAGATCATTAATTAATTAAAAATAATAAAAAATAATTTTAAAAATTAAAAAAATGAAAAAAAAATTTCTTGAAATTGGAAGATGTTTTGCAGTTACTTTTCAAAAAGAAGGCTTAGACATAGGAGAAGAAGGGGTTGTGACTTGGATGTAGAATATAGAATTGAAAATATGAAAAATGACTACTTTATTTTGGACATTGTTCTTCTTCTTCTTTTTGAAAGAATATTTTGAACATTGTTAATGTAAAATGTTGATAGCAATTTATCATATTTATAATGACTATTTCAATTTTTGTAAATGCTTGTGTTGTGTATTAATGTTATGAGAAATAATAATTTTATTTGAACTATTGACTAAAACGGAATAGAAAATTATGAGTTTCTTTTTGCCATTTTTGTTTATAAGTCAAGTGTAAAACTATTAAAAATCAATTATTAGTTAGGATTGAGAAATAACTACTTTAAATAGCTACAAATAAATACTAAATACCAAGTTCCTCTCTGCAAAATTTTTATAGTCAAGTCTAACTAAAAAAAATTAAGTGATTACTTTATTTATATTATTGATTAAAATGAAATAAAAAATAATAGGTTCCTTTTTATCACTTTTGTTTATGAGTCAAATGTAACTACTAAATATCAGTTACTAGTTATTGCTGAGAAATGATCACTTTACAACCAAATAGCAAATGACAGGTGTCTCTTTATAGACAATTTTATCAGTCAAGTCTAACCAAAAAAAAAAAACAGCGATTGATGCTTTAATTTATTTGGATTATTGACTAAAACGAAATATAAAATGACAAATTCTTTTTCTACCATTTTTGTTTATCAATCAAGTGCAGCTACTTAAAATAGATTACTACTTATAATTGAGAAATAATTACTTTATTTAAAGAAATGACTATAGCTCTATAGTAAATAACAATTGCCTGCTTGCAATTTTTTATGATCAGTCAAGTTCAACTAAAAAAATCAGTGATGACTACTTAATGTTGGCTATTGACTTTTTTTTTTACCAGCGGCTATTGACTAAAATAAATAAAAATTAACAAGTTCATTTCTGCCATTTTAAATTGAGGAAAAATATATCATTTCACAAAAAAATAAAACATCAAACAATTTTTTAAGGACTACACGATAATTATCACATCTCATAATACTTATTTGTTATTTTCACATTTTTAAGGGTATTTTTTAGTCATTCTCCCAATACACAGATATTTAACACAATATTATACACCAACATTGTCTTCAACTTTTTTTTTCTTTCCTAAAAAATATATTATACATTGAACTATTAGCCTAATTACAAAAGAATCTTGATTGAAAGATTTGCTGGCCAGGTCTCCAGATAATGCTTCTGTGTCTCACAGCAGAAGTTCGCAGTGTATTTCTCTCATGCTCATTAATAGCCATTAAAAAAAAAACAAAGAAAAGGAAAGGAAAAAAAAAACAAAAACAAAAACAAAAACAAAAACAAAAATCTCTCCCTCTCTCTTTGTCTTTCTCTCTCTTCCTATATCTTTCTACAAACTTCGACATTATTCAGTATTCACTGAAATATATATCTGCTCATTTCCATGAATGGTCATTTCAGAACTAAAGGCAGGCAAGGATGGCCACCAACACCAATAAACCTCTCTCTCTGCTCTTCATTACCTTCCTCTTTTCAGCTCAGCTCCTACAAGGTCATATCTGCTCACCTCTCTCTTTCTTTCTTTCTCCTTCTTCTTCTTCTGACGTCTGTCACTGAATCTGCTGTCAGTTTTTCACCATTAATTCGAAGCTTCTACATGTCCCTTATTAAAAAACTAACTTTCCTGAGTTTCACTTCAGTCCCAAGTTTCCCAGAACAACTTCTTCTTCTTCTCCTTCATATGTCTGCAACTGAATATGGTTTCAGTTCTTCACCATTGCTAAGCTTCTAGATATCCTTTAATTAACACACTAACTTTCCTGAAGTATATATCCCGTTTCATTGCCAAGTGAGCAGAAGAACTTATTCTTCTTCTTCTTCTTCTTATGTCTGTAGCTGAATATATACAGTTTCAGTTTTGCATCATTGATAAGCTTCGAGATATATATATATATATATATATCAGAGCTTTTGTTGAACACACACTCACTTTTCTGGGTCCCTCTCATATGTGTTACAGCTACAATTTTCTGAAGAATGAATTGTTCATGCATCTGAATCTTTATAACTGTAATTGTTGCAGGAATAGAAACCGAAGGATGGTTATCTCAATCCTCAGATCAAACCCAGAAACAGCAACAACAAATAAGTTTGGAGGTATATATACCACACAACAAACACCATGATCAGTATAATCTATATATATATATGGTTCTGTGTTTGAGTCCAGAAGCTAATTAGGGTTATGGTTTGAAGGACATTAATTAAAATTAAGGAAGAAACTAACAGAGATATAAATGTTATTGTGAATTGTGATTTTCAGGGAAGGAAGATGATAGGATCCACAGCACCAACTTGTACTTACAATGAATGCAGAGGGTGTAAACATAAGTGCATAGCTGAACAAGTCCCTGTTGAAGGCAATGATCCTCTCAATAGCCCATACCATTACAGATGTATTTGTCATAGATAGATCATCATCATATGTGTGTGCTTTGTAACTTTAGGGGACTATCGTATTTTGTTTTCTTTTTTTTTTTTAAAAAAAAAAATCTTTCTATAATTTGATAGAGACTATTTATTATTTGGTTTAGCAGTTTTGAGTCCTAATAATCTTTCCTGCCATGTGTGGCAGATTGTGTGATTGGATGGTTGAGAGATAATTAATTATATAAGCTGCAATCCTTTTGCATTTTTGGTGTGATTTTGGTTGGTGTAAGTTTTATTATTGTTCAAAGAACTTGTGTTTAGTGATAAGTGTTCTTTTTTTTTTTGGGTTTTTTCCGCCATAATATATGGATGTTGTTAATTTGTGAGATGTGAAAGTAGAAGTATATAAGTGACAAAGTGTGGTTAGAAATATCTGAGAAATTGACATTTCTCAATTGGCTTATTATGCATGTAATGAAATTTTTAATATTTTTTGGCACGTTCTTTTCCATGTCTTCTTCACTCACATCATTTCATCAATTAATTGTAAAAGATCCTTAGTGAATAGTGACAAAGGAAATCAGAATTTTTGTTTTAACCCATTAGAGTTGAAAGGAATTATTATTTGTGATTTAAAAAATAATAGTCTTAAAGCAACACGAAATAAATACAAAATTAAACTTGGTTGGATGGGTAGAGTAGAGTACACTTAATTCCTCTTAAGTAAAGTTGAGGGTTCTAATCTTATCGATAAAAGAAATCTTTTTAAGAGATAAACTTCCAATAATTAAGCCTCAATCATAATACTCGATTGATCCAATAATACTAACTTAAGTATAAAGAATCTATGTATAATTTACAATCACAACTTATATGAGAGTTTCCAAATAGCTAAAGATATCTATATGAGATTTGCAAATATTTATATTTTTATTAATTATATCACTAATATATATATATATATATATATATAAAAACTGTCCCAAAACACTCTTTCAATTACTAATGGATTTGTTTCTTTTATCAATTTTATATGCGCATGTTAAAAACGATGTCATAATAAATGTTATCATTGTTGCTTTGAAATAATTAATTTAAATTGTAAAAAAAAAATCAATACTAATAAAAGAATAATAAAATAACCGTGTCCATTTGTTTTGGTTTTATATTGCATATTTATATTAATATTCCACCTTTTGTTTTAAATTTTAACCTTAATTTAATTATTTTCTATAAGAAAGGGAGACACATCCATTCACACAGGCATGCATGTACATGAACATATAATCAGTGGATTCAAACATATGACCTCTTCTAAATAAAAGAGGTGATGTTGCTATTAACCACTTGATATGACAAAGTTTGAAGTAGTTTTTAACAAAATAATAGAAATAAGTAAGTAATTTAGAGTAATTATTCAATTATTATTTTTGCTTTTAAAATATACTCAGACTTCTCTTAAAATCAAAATTAAAATATACACACACTAAATTTCTTTTGTTGATTTAAATATCTTTCATTTGAGTAAAACCCTCACGAAGTTCAAGCCATCGATGTAATGTAGCCAAAAATAAAAAATAAAAAAATCTTTCACTTATTTAAACATATGTTCTTTCAAATTAATAATTGAGGTGAATTACATATAAAAATGCATATATACTATCTTGTTTTTTTCAGAGGGGAAAAATAACATATTAAAAAAAAAGAAATTGAGTGAAATGTAGATGACCCCACTAGCTAGCTAGTTTAATAATGTAATCAGCAAAAATAGAAGTATGTAGAGTTTAGGGAAGAGTGGTCCCAAAAAATTAGGCAAAAAGTGACAAGAGATCACATGGAGGAGTAATATGTATTTGCAGATAATGGCAAAACAATTTTATGAATAGAGCAGTGAGGTCCCATATGTTCATTCATTAGTGTCAATCTTCTTCTGTTTCTTTGTATTTGGACTCTACTCCCACATTATGCTTCCACTTTGACTGCCCTTATCATATATATTCTCTTCATTTCATTAATTTAATTAAGCCATTAATTATTTTTGTGTAATATGACTTATTTAATCAACACGGTTGTGATTCTGATTGTAATACTTCTCTTTTGGTTATTTCTACCAGATTATTGAAACATATCTTAATTTAGTATCTTGTTTGAGTTTGGATATTAAAAGGACTCCTCTGCTCAAAATTATTTGGTGTTTTTTGAATTTTGAGAGATATGTTTAAAAATAATATAAGACATTTTGTCATTTTTCTAGGAGTAATTAACGACATTATTTTAGAAATGTCCTTCATAAATATTTGAAATTAATGAAATTTTCGTATTTTTTCCATTTTTGTGACTAAATTAACCTATTAAATAAGAATAAATATAAAATAAGTAAGTAGTTTTGAATTATGTGAACCGTTTTCTTGACGTGAAAAAGATAGTTAACAATGCTTTATAATTGAATGAAAGGTGATAAGTAGTATTTGATTTGTGTAAAAACTAAAAACCTCAATTATTTAATTTAGACAAAAGAAAATTAGCCATCTCATATGTGTATCTATTCTTTTCCTGTTATTGGTAAATCACTTGCTATCTTTTGTATACATGTGAGGCGTAGTATCTTCCACATTTATCTTGATCTTTTCTCCAATCTTTCATGAACTCTCGTCTTCTTCCACCCCCTTTTCTCATTTCACTGTTGGTGTCAACCAACACTGTTTGTCGCTGTTCTCGATCTCCAGTGAATGAGTGACAATTATTTTAAATTAAAAGAAGAAAAAGTAAAATTTGAACAATTCAAACCAAGAAAAAATATTTCTATTGTTCCATTCCAAGAACAGTACTAGAGGATCAGTTCACTTTTCCATCTTGGATCACATCCACAATTCCCTTTTTAGTGATTGATTTGAAGAGCAGCATGTGTCCAAACTTTTCAATTTTCATAGTAAACTATTGAAGTAGTAGTGAATCTGAGATTAGCAATAGGTTAAAATGTTATTAACAACTTGAAGCACTAGAAAGACGTAGAATTTAATCACAATCTTTCTTTCCTTAACCATCTGTTTGAAGATCACCCCTTCCATGAAGTCATTCAAACTTGTAATTTTCTCCTCAGAAATTGGTCTATTTCTATTAATTTTCTTTCTAGAAATGTCGTTAATCATGCCCACAACTTTGCTAAAGAATGATGATTGATTACACTATTGTGGTTGTTTCTTTTGTTTCCTTGTAATGATTCTTTTTTCGGTTTATGAATGATTTTCAATTTTTATTCAAAAAAACAGAAGGAAAATAATAATGAGAGAAAATTATTAAAAGAATAGAAAAAGAAAAGACAATTTGCTTCCCTAACACGGTTTTTTCTTTAGTTTTCTTACTCTCTACAGGGAAATTAGAGGAAAACAAGGATAAAAAAATATCTTTTTCCTCTAGCTTTTCCTCAGTTGTCCCTCCTCCTTGTAAGGAAATTAGTGGACAACAAGGATATTTCTATAATGTTAAGTTTAAAAAATTACTTTTCATCGTGTAATGAGTTATATATAAGGAAAAAGAAATATGTTCTTGTATTACAGGATGTTTCAAATTTTCTCATATGTTTCCAGGCTACTTCCAGTTTTACAATATGGTTCTTTCTTCCTCCTGACCTCAAGAGACTCTCCTCACTTAATTAATCACATTCTCAGGCATTTTTGTGCTTATTATCCTCTTCGTTTCTTTTAATTTCCCTCAACTTTTAAAGGATTTCTCACACAAAAATCACCCACCTATGGTTTCAGCTTTTATTTCTTAATAAACATCAGTATATTCTTAGGAGGGCTGTGGGATAGGGTCATAATAAATTAGACAAGCAAAATTCCAAATGGTTGATAACTTTCTTGAAAGTTTGATACCCAGAGCATTCATTTATATTATTAAATAAGGTAGTGGGGCATTCATTATCTTCTTGTCTTGCCCATTCACCAAACATTCTAAGATACCGCGTGCTTAGTTGTACAAAAATATATTTGTCTGCAGAAGAATCCAGACACCAAGATACAACAATAATTGAACTGCTTCTCTACTAATTTTGACCATCTAAGCTTTTTAAAAGAGGGTTAAATTAATTTATGCACCTATAAATTTCATATATTCCATAAGGTTTAAAGTCTGAATGTGCCTACTGAGATGAACTATAACCTATGGACCCCAAAACAAAAAAATAAATGAAAAGAAAAGGACAGAAAGAAAGAAATTAAGAAAGATCGTTGGAACCATCTTTTGTTAGATAGTTTTTCCTTAACCTCTCTAAAAAGCAAGGGTTTTAATTTCAAGGAAAGATTTAGCCTAGCCATGGGATATTTTCACCAGGTCCATCAATTCAGACAAGACTATCTAATACAGATACCAAGAAATTGAATGTAGAACCTATAAAGCTAGGAGAAACTAAGATCTCTTTCTCCCTTAAGACCAAGAAACTATAGAATCTGCAAGTAAGCTCAATTTATCAAGAGGAGCTAACTACTGATGGTTGGCTCAAGCTATCTTGAGTTGTTATTACTAGTTCAGCAGAAGCGGCTCTACCAAACCTGGACAGCTGAGGCTTGAATTCTGCTATGTGGTGAGTTCGAATGGAATGGCAACTCAGAGTGCTCTTCTTTTCAGTGATTGAATTATTGTGATCTGCACCAATATTGCGGTGGAGATGACACCTAAATGAACCTTCATGGGTGGTTGGAGAACAAGTGCACATTTTCTTAGACTCTTCCCGTGATTTGTTTTTGCTTTCACTTTCATTTATATTTGCCTTCTCATCAATCATCTTCTTTGTTGGAGCCTTAAATAATTTCCCTCTTTTTGGAGTCTGCAGATTCTGAGTAGAAACGCAGGTCTTCTTATTAGATTCAATAGTAGTTGATGAAGTTGTGCTTTCCATCATACTCGCCTTTTTAGTCCTCTTCGTCAGTACTGCCTTCAATAATTCATCTCCTCCTTGATTACGTTGATTTTTCGTTTTAGTAGCCCTGAAGATCACAACAGAAATCAAAGAACATGAACTGAACCTGTGAAGTCAAAGCAATTTGAGCCTACTATACCAGTTCCAGTTTATTGTATACCCAATACATAGAAGAGTAGTGTCTCGAACTAAATAGCCTGACAATTCATTTTTTTTTTTTTGGTACACTGCAAAATTCAGTTAAATCTCACACTACACCTCCACCAAATTCTACGGATAAACCTTACATCACTGAGCATTTTAAAACATGGAAACCAGTTACACCCATGAAAAACACGAACAGTACCCCATATTAAAGAGTTAAAAACCCAAGGAAACAGAGAAAGGGTTAATTTGCATGCATCATTATACATAATAGATTCAACATCAGCTAATCAATTCAAGTACTTAAGTTTCCAAATCAGTGACCCTGAAATTGAGCTTCCAAGATCTAAGCTAAACATTGATTTGGACATCAGAACATTGCATTGTTCTATTCAGAAACACCACATTTAATTCAAAGATTGCGAAAGATGCACCGAAACGAACGTGATTTCAGACAAGCAATATTTCATACGACTTCAAGACAATCTTGATTCACGGCAGTACGGAGCTGAAGACTATCAAGTAATCCCTCTATAATTTCCCATCAGATACTAACATAGATTGCGAATCTTCTAGAACTTGCTAGGTATTGCTTAGAAACAAAAATCAAATAGGAAAAAGAACAGCGCACCGTAGAGGAGCGGTCTTGAATTGAGAATCGTGATCGGAGTTCTTCTTCACTTCTGCCGCCATTATTGGCGTCGAATACAAAACCAATCAAATTCGATGTTATGTTTAGTCTCTGTATCGGGCAAAAAAATTGAAAGACAACAATTCAAGAAAAATTAGTGAAAAAGTGAACAAAATTATTATTAAAACTCGTACGAAGAAAGAAGATCAAGTAGTTAAATTAAATCAACTTTAAAGAATCTCACACCGAAAAGAAAGAAAGATCTTAACGAAACCGATCTTTGATGCTACACAAGGAGAGAGAGATTAAGGGGGTCCACGTTCATGCATGCAGGGTCTTGAAGTTAATTAACACCTGGGAAGTGTTCTTGGGGAATGAGGAAGTAATGAGGCGTGGTGGCTACGTGTCATGCAATTAGTGGCCCAATGTATCAGAGGTACGTATTTTCGAGCTAGAATTTCTCATCAAGTTTATAACAATATGTGACTGAATTAATCTAATCTAGATGGGCTCTGCGCACAATTCTCAAATTAGAAGCCGCAATGTTTACGATTATGCAAACAATTCGACTTTTATGAGTTATACATACATATTTATTAATGGGATAATGAAATTTTCTGTTGAGTTTGTCTAAATTTAATTTTATTAATTTAATTCTTTATATTTTTTTTAAAGGAAGAATTTCAATAAAGACTTTTAGATCAAACTAATTTAAAATCAGAACCCTTAAATTTTTGAGAATTCACTGCAATTCAAAGGTGCTGATTTGATATTAATTAAATTTTTATGAAAAATGATAAAATTGCCTCTCATTTAAATTAATATCAAAACTTTTTTATTTTATTTTGTCATTATCCTACTTCACTTGTTAATTTATTTAATGTTGTTAATTGCCTTAATTAACTTGTTTTTATTTTATGTGTTTAAATCATCTTAAAAAAACTTGCTAGTTCTTATACTATATATTATTCATTTATTTATGGACTGTTGTTTATTATCCTACTTTATTTGTTCATTATCAAACTTTCACTTGATTTCATTTCAAAAAAATGAACAGGTGAAGGAAGACAATTAACAATATTTTATAAGTAAATAAAAAAGTGAAGTATAATAATGAATAAGTGAAGTAAGACAATTTTCATATTAATTTAAGTGAGGGGCAGTTTGGTCATTTCTTAAAAAATTTAATATCAAATCGGTACCTCTAAAATGTAGTGAAATTTCAAAAAGTTAGAGGCTTGGAATTTAAATAAGGATGGTCCTAGGGTCTTTATTGAAATTCTCCCTTTTTTAAATTATAATGTTAGTCCTTTAAGTTTTAAAAATTAAAATACAAATTAACTTTTAAATTAATCTAATGTGTAAAGTATTTTGATGACTTGAAATGTATATGTAGCTAAATAAAAAAAAAAAAGTGCCCCCAAATCAATTTAACTTTTATCAACCTAGTCACTTTACGATATGTTTTGTTCTTTTATTTTTAAAATTTTTTAGCCTTTTCTATTTTCTACCTAAATAATTATTTTTTCATTAATCTAAATGTCATTAATATTTTTGTTATCCATATTAGTAGATTATAATAATTTAAGGGACTGAATTGATAACTAAAGTAAATTTAAGGGATTAAAAATTTTATTATTCCTATATATCTAATGTTGATTTTGAATAATATAATTTTAAATGGCGTACTATATATAAATAATATATTTAAAGTATATGATATATTGTTAGATTTAACAAAATAAATATTGATATATTTGATTTAAAAAAATCACTAGAAACAGATATCAACTAGGCATAAATTACAAGTTTTCTTTGTAAGCTTAGGATTTCCTCAAAATCATACCTTTATTTTTTTTTAATTCTTTTCTTGGATTTTGTTTTCACCACTATATAACTTGGTGTTTTTGGAGTATATTGCATCATCTTCATTCACATATTGATGTACTTGTAACTCAAGAATGTAGCTGTGAATGAGTCGTCATCTCATGATCATGCTCATTCCCATTTTTTTCTCCTTATCTCTCCTCGAATTAGGTAGCTTTTTTACCCTAATCTACTTCCTTCACTATTCTAACTTTTCAAATACAAGTTTTAAAGTTATAAGTACTTTTTAATATGGATCATAAAAGTAAAGGTCATAACTAAACATATCAAAACATTTTCAATAGATTTTTTTTATCTTTATCCTTAGAAATTAAAAAAATAATTTACTTGCTCATTTTTTTTAAATCTAAATTAAACTTGTATAATTGATGTACTATTTTTTACAATTGAATTAGTAACAGCTAATTGGCTCTCAAGTCTCATACATTACTTGATATTACCAAAGGAAAAAACAAAAACTATACTTCTCAAACCTCTGTGTGTGTGCAAGATATTACTAATACTATCCATGTGTGTTTATACATCATATAAAATTTATAAAAAAAACATATTATTGATAAATTTTAAACAGCACAGGCTCATTCGGTATTTTATGTAAAGCACAAGTCATGATCTAATTGTAATGAGAAGTGTAGAAATTCTAGGAACTAGGTTTGCGGTAGAGTAGGGAAATGGGTCGGCTTGGCCCTTATAGACCAAGCCCTAGACTTATTAGAATGGTCAAAACTATAAACCTTTGTTTTCCTTAAATTTGTAATTTTTAAAAGGGCTAAATGATATATTTACTTTAAAACTTTTTTTTCAAAGGCCCCTAACACACAAAACTTTTGTTGAAGTATTTGTGCCTCGAACTTTTCAAAAAGAAAGCATGTTTACCCTACCATTAAATATCAAAAACATTGATCATTAAATTGAAGTTTGATCAGGGTTAAATGACATATTTGCCATGGTGCTAAGTATCATGAATTTTTGTTTAGAGTTTATTTTTCCTAAAAGTTTCAAAAGGAGAGCAATTTTACCCTGTCGTCAATATTGTTCGTTACTTTGAATTCAACTGCCACGTGTAGCCACGCGGCATTTTCAAAAAAAAATTGAAAAAAATCCATTTAGATATCAAGAACAAGTCCATGACCAGCAAGCAAGAACAATGTAACATTCTCAAATTTACAGACCGATTTTTTTGCAAGTTATTAATTCAACAAATCTTTTTTTTTTACTTTTTTTTTTCATTGAACCCTTATCATGGTAGAAAAATTTCTACCATGATACATCCAAGACAATATACCACATGTCTTAAAATATCTCAAAAACGTAATTAGAACCATGAGGGACAGACATAATCCTCATAGCATGTTATTCAAATCAAATCATAAATCAAGAGGGACAGACATAATCCTCTTGGTCATATAAATACTTTTAATAAAAAGGATTAGAGTTTACATGCTTCACAAAGAAGATATGTCCTAAGTTGGCACAAGATACATTGTATAATCTAAAATAAGAGGCAACGTAAAAGATGGTGTCTCATACACTACAGTTACACCTCTGGTGCTTTCTCGGCCGGACTCTCTCCTGTAAAAATATTAACCACGGGGAATGAGACTTAAAAGTCCCAGTAACCAAAAATTAATATGTAATGATGCATGCGGATGTAACTAATCATGCGATTGCTAAGTGGGTACACAAAACATTTAACCGAACAATACTTTCAAACAAACCGAACAAGTATTTAATTTGCATGACTGCACCTTATATCCTCCTTTCGCCATGCTCGGACGCCAAATCACCCGGCCAAAGGTGAGTTGGACCAAGCGACACGCCACTCATTGGGTCCAATGAGGGCTTACCACGTGGTAATAATTAACCGAACAGAAATTTCCATTAACACCATACATTAAAATACCCTGACAAGTCATGCATCATTCAAATATCCAAACAGGAATATATCCGAACAATAATATCTCATCATGATAAACAAAAATAAATTTTTAACCCACTTGGCAATAATTTCAAACAAGTATATACAGTATTTATTTTCAATAATTCATAATTTTTCCAAACAACAAAACAACACATAACTATTCACAAATACACCCATCACAACACATTAATAATGGTTACCTTGTGTCTTGAATAACAAGTTCCCTTTCACAACTCCTTTTTCACCACTATCTTTGTCAATATAATCTACATAATTATTTCACAATACTATATATTAATTTTACATTAAAATAAATAACTCTAATTTAAATAGTTAGAAAGTCTTAGATCTATAATCCATATTAACACTAATTTAAGATTTATGCCTCATTTAACTTCCCAAATTCTTTTCTAAAATTCTCGTACCCTAATAAACTATTTTTTTATCCTCAAATCACTTCTAGTATCACAATTTCATCCTTCTATATTCTAAAAATTTGTCCAAAAATAAATTAAATTTTAAAATTATCCTGAAGCCTCAAATCACCTTTCTATAACCTCAAAAATACCTATTCATACTTAAATAAATATTTAATAATCATAGGTTTATCCCTACATCTCAGATTTCACATAAATTCAACTATATAGATCTAGATTTTAACTCAAAAATTCTTAAACATGAGTTTCAACCTCAAGAAAATATTCTATAATATTTATTATATCCCTAAGAGTTTTAACCTATATTTTTAATCCATCATATCATCAGATTAACTATCCTATAAAAAAATTCTAATCAAAATATTTACTCTATCCTACAAAATAATCATATCACTAGAAAGCTAATATTATTTAGAAAATAACTATAAAATTAATTTTGTAATAAAATAAATTTTTAAATGCTAATCTAAACAGGAAAGTTAGAACATACCTGAAAAAAAAGAAAATAATCCTCCCTTGCGAGAAAAACACCGAGCAACGTGAGAGGAAGAGAGAAAAATAATATAAAAATGGGATTGTGGTCCCAAAATTATATTAAAAAAAACTATAGATTTGAATTTAATTATTTAAACCTTTGGGCCAAAAGTTGCAATTTCCTCTAAATTGCATCTTAGCCTCTCATGCTTCATAATGCACACACCCCCTCCTTTTTATACATGAAGGCACCTCTTCTCTTCCCTCATCTAACCAATGTGGGACTTAGAAACAACAACCTTCCATCCTTTTTTTTTATTCCTTCTACTTTCTCTTTTTTTTAACACACACATAAAAAAAATTATTTATGTATTATATCTTAACTAAATATTGCTTATGTGATTTTAAATTTAAATTTTTAAATTCATAATTAAATACCTAACCATAATATTATTTCTAAATAACCTCAAATAATATAAATTTCTATTATTATCTTTTTTTTTCAAAACCTAAATTCCACAATTTCTTTATTATATAAAAATTAGGATGTTACAAACAACAACAAGTAATTCCAAATCATTTGAATCCATACCTATACTTAGAAATAATTAACTATCCGTTGAGTCAATTCATATGAAATTGACCACC